AAAAGGACTTTCGCACCTTGTCTAATTAGAGGATGAAATGAGCCTAAACAATTCGGGGAGGAAGCAGGAGAAAAGATGAGAAGGTCAGCGGGAGCATATCCAGTAACAAGAGGCTGCTGAGTGAGACTATCACACTGCAGACAGAGAAGCTCAGCACAGGTTCGCTTTATTTTATGAACACAGTGGCACTGGGGAAGAAAGAAATGCCAGTGTTGTCCAAGGTGAGGCTTTGCAGCACCATGACCCTCTTTTGAGAGGAGGATTTACCCTGCTGATAGAAGTGCCGTGAGAAACTTTGTTAGAGACAGATTTGCTCTGTTTTAGAGCAGCCTGTCTTTATTTTTTTTGTCAATACAAATGCCTCCCTAGTAGGTAGAATGTGGGCTTCCTTCCAGGACCCAGCTTCAGTGGCTTACAGTAACGCCTACAGTGGCTGGCAAATTGCTCAAGACCATATCTATATAAGTAAAATTTTTAACTTTCTCTGAGTCAGTCTTTCTCTGCATTAACAGTCTTAGGAAAGGATGAGAAACAGTGACCCTCTGAAGCTGAGAAAAGAGAGATATTTCAATAAAATCACTGAACTTTCAGGCAAAGTAAAATATTTTTCACTACCTAAGGTAATTTACAATGAAAAAAGGCTCTAGAATTAGCTAGAGTTAGGCTGTATTCTGGGAGGAATGGCAGTGTCTTAGGGTTTCTATTAGTGTGAAGAGACACCATGACCATGGCAATGCTTATACAGGAAAACATTTAATAGGGGCTGGTTTACAGTTCAGAGGTTTAGTTCATTATTGCCATGGAAGATGGCATGTGGGAAGACACAGTGCTGGAGGAGGCAAGAGCTCTACATCTTGATCCACAGGCTTCAGAAGGAGACTGTGTGCCACACTGGGCATAGCTTGAGCACCTGAGACCTAAAAGCCCGCTCCCACAGTGACACTTCCTCCAACAAGGCCACACCAGTCTCCTACCACTCTCCCTGGGCCAAGCATTCAAACATATGCATCTATGGGGCCATTCTTATTCAAACCACCACAGCATTAAAGTCTGTTTATCATCTTAGCTATACCCCACTCAACTCTCCTTATTTTCACACTCAAGGAACTGAACCAACTGAGGAGCATATACAACTGATTAGGAAGGTAAGAGAAAACAGGAAGGCATCCCACGACCCTGGATGTGCCCTGTCATTGATAAACTGAATAAGTAGATGCCATGGGTCTCTAATGACGATACTGCCAGGCATTTTCTAAAGTAGTTAGTAATGTCATCTTCCTCCAGTACCAATTTTGATAGCTACTCACAACATATATAAGAAACACAGAAAGTGATTATTTATAGATTAACAATTGGATGTCAAAGATTAGTGTTAGCCTTGCGGAACGCCTCTTGCCTTGTTCCTATAAAACACTTAAAACCAACAACTTGAAGAAACAGGAGCTAATGAGACATCTCTACACTACAAGCTGGAACAAAGAACAGACAGACAGCATCACACTGTGGTTGAGAAAACCCTTTCAGTGCTGTCGTAGTTGGGGTTCCTATCACTATGATAAAGACCATGACCCAAAGCTACTTGAGGAGGAAAGGGTTTAATTCAGCATACAACTTCCAGGCCATCCTCCGTCGCTTAAAGAAGCCAGGGCAGGAATTCAGGCAGGAACTGAAACAGGACCGTTAGGGGAGTGCTGCTTATGCTGCTTCCCACAGCATGCTCAGCCTGCTTTCTCACAAAACCCAGGACCACCTGCCCAGGGAGGTTCTACCACAGTGGGCCGGGCGCTCCCCCATCAGTCACTAATCAAGGAAATGCCTGACAGACTGGTTATAGGCCAATCTGATGGACACATTTGCTTAATTGAGAGTCCTTTTCCTAAGTGCCCCCAGCTTATGTCATGTTGACAAAAAAAAAATGATCCCACACAGGCACTAAAGTGAATACAAAGATTACATATGGCTCTTTTTCCTCATACAGGTCCCCCCTCGACTAGTGCTAAAATTTTAAAATAACAAAAAGGTAACAGGTAATATATAGAGAATCTACTTCACAAGCCTCTTAAAAACTTTTGTTTTGTCATCTAGTGAGATAGCAGGTTGTATGATTAAGGAAAAAAAATGATAAAGGAACATTACACACACACCGGAAAGTAACAGAACTTATTTTAAGTAATTAATAACAATATTTATTATTATTATTATTATTATTAAAGTCATAAAAAAAAGAGTATGAAATAACAAATTCCATAGTGAATATGAAAACGGCTGAATAGGTCAAGGAAGGGAGACATTGTTATTTTAGCTTTAGGAATTGGTAGGATGTGAGATGAATAGAGTTTGAAAAAGTAGTAATGAAGGGAAGCAGAATCTAGGTTCGGAGCTGGAAAAGCATTGCACTTATGTGAGGAAGGATTTGTGGTTTGGTTTGAATGAAGAATGGAATTCAGGACAAGGAGCAGTAGGAAATAAAAGTTGGGTAATAAGAGTCTGGGATACAGGTTGGCACAATGAACTAAAAACAATAAAATTAAATTTAACTTGGATGGACTTCCAGTTTTGGGATGGCAGGGTAAAGATATTGTTTCTCCCTTTCTTCTTGAAAACCACCCTCAAACAATTAGAAAACAACCTCTAACTTCAATGACTAAGAGGCATGTAAGAACCACAATGCTTGAAAATTAAAAGCAGAGAGCAGAATGTTTGATGAGTTCATGTAACAGACGAAGTCAAGTCCATGTACCCAGGGGGGAGATACCAGGAAGGCACAGCACTTCCTGAAGCCTGGAATTTGTATAACACAGAGATACCTGAACCAAAAGCAGGAGCTTAAAACAGGGAAACCAGGTTCATCAGAAAAAGCCCGAGACACATCAGATTGGACCACTGCTTATGTTCAGGCAGAGAAACAAAAAATACATTCTAGAGTTGAGTCAACCACTTTTAGAGAGTTATGTTTTTTCTTAACATATATTTTTAAATAAAAATTTATAATGGCATTAATAAAATGATTTAGAAATATTTTAAAATTAAAGATAATTTTAAGAGCACATATGGTTTGGCTCTGACTTCCACATCTAGAGATTTCAATTTTGTTGGGTGAAGCCATGAACCTATATTTTATAGATCTCTCATTCTGAAAACATGGTCAGAGGACACTGTCATTTAAAGTAGGGTGACTAAGGAAGTTCTCACGCAGAAGTACAATTTTGAATGAAGCAGTGGTTAAGTCATGCAGCTACTGGGGAAAAGTATTTCAGGCAGAGAACTGTTGATATGAAGGACACCGAGCAGCAGGCTGACCACACATCTACCCAAGGAACATCCCAAAGGCCAGGTGAGCTAGAGGACCGAGATCAGAAAGTTATCATGGCAGGACCATTACACACACACACACACACACACACAGAAAGCAACGGAACTTATTTTAAGTAATTAGTAACAAAAATCAAAACTGCAAGTAGCTCTTGGGAATGTAAGTTGACTAGCTAATGTGGTCTCTGAAGTGTTTGGTGAACACTGCGACAGAGGTGCACAGAGGCAGTGCTCTAGCTCGTCTGCAGGAGCTCTGGGACTGGAGAACACTAACCCTGCTTTCACACACTCCAGTCGTGCAGCAGTCCATCTGTGACTGTGGTGAATAATGAAATGGATGGAACCTGTCCCCAATGTGGATGCGATGGGCAGAGCGAGACTCACTTTCCAGGCAAGAAAACATTGGAACAGCAAATCATTTAAAATGCATGAACTGTTTACTTGTGAACTTTCCAACTAATATTTTCAGATAGCAGCTGACTGGTTAGCTCAATTGTGGAAAGTGGCAGCATGACACAGAGGACTGCTATCCAGCACTGAACAGTTTTTCATAAAAAATTTCTGAAAATTCAAGTCTATTTTCTCATTTCTTGTATTGGTTAGGCCACAAAACAGCGACATAAAAAGCTTTTTTTGTGTCCCTTTTGAAGGATTTTCTTTCTTATTTTAAGAGTCAAACAGTTGTTAATTTATTTCTCAAGTGTAGTCTTTCTAGGGTTCCAGCTTTGAACATGGATTCATCATTCTTCATATTCAAGCTGAACTCTTTTCTCATTCTTACTAAAACTTTATATATTCTTATCCCAAAGTCCATCTTACTCCACAAACTTAGAGGCCAGAACACTGACTGCCAATGGACCATTCCAGCAACAGATGTGCTTCTGATACAGAGAGGAGAATGTGGCTTCTTCTTCACCACACCTCTGCAGACATGAAGCACCCAATCAGACCTCTCAGCTGTATTTGCCTTGAAGTCATTTTGGGGGTAAATAATGACCCTGGCTATGAAATAAATTTATTTTTGCCTGATAACAAAATGTTATAAGAGCATTCATTTCTCTTTCCCCATTAACTTCTGGATTAACATAAAATAACAGTTTTGTTAACTCTTTCCAATTACGTGTAGTAGGGCTTTCTATAGGTATGGGAGTAAATTTACTTCTGTAACAAACAGCCACAAAAATTTTTTTACATTATACCATATATAATTTCTTGGAAAAACATAAATCCTAAAGGTATATAATATTAAAACTATTATGTAGCCAAGAGAGCTGTGTTCTTTTAATAAAACAAATTACTGATAGATGAACATCAAAATAAAATTTAAAAACCATATTTACACTAGCATCTGAGAATCAAACTCAAGTACTGATTTACCAAATGAACAACCCTCTTTCATTTTTTTCTGATAGAGCCAAGATTTTAAAGAAAATAATAATAATAATAATAATGATGATGATAATGGCACAGATCTACCCTGAACTATGTTAATATATGTCAACTACAAGTGTAGCTGATTTTAGTAGAAAAGCCTGGACTTCTGGTTTCTTTTTGAGTGTATTAGTAAGTACGAAAGAAGCAAGAGACTTGAAGACTTGGTCATTCAGGTTAGACATTTTCTCAGATTGAAAAATAGCAACAGTGAAATCTCCAGGGTCAGACAGAGAAGATGGACCCAGTTAGCTTACCACTTGAACCATCTTGAGGTATCTGGCATATCTTGGATCCTTGGCTACAGTTAGGACATTTTCTGATGGTGCTTCACTTTCCTGTGCTCCAGAGTCTTGTGTGTTGTTCTGTTGTAGAGAGTTTTTACGTAAACCTTTAGACAGTTCACAGAGAGGGTCCAATACTTAAAGGGGATGTTTATTTTTAAAATTATGAATCAATAAATATTCAAAATTGTATTTTATATTTAAATACCAGTAATTTATTATGGGATATATGTTTCCAAATATCTATTAATACTCACTAGCTAAACTCAATACCATCAATAATACATTCAATTCTTAAAATGCAAATGTATTTCTATGAATATACTTCTATGGATATATCAAAAAACCAGTGAAACAATTTGATTTGTCAACTGCTCAACTAATGGACAGTGAATTACTTTTTTAGGTACCTGCCATCTATCCTATTGTCCCCCTCCTTTATTAAACTGTTATATTTTAAGTGGATATGGTGATTCTAAGTTTTTAGGAAGCAGTGCTCACAGATTTCTTAGAAAACCATTCTCTGATTGTGTACATTTTGTGTGTTGATGAGCCATTATTAATACTAATAAAGTCAACAAAGTAGCCAAAATTCTAACTACCAGTTTCAGTGACAAATACTGAGGGATGGAGCTTTTGAGTGACAGCACTGTGAAGGGCGCTCAGGGACAGCGAAGCCCAGTCCTTGCTTCAGTGTGAAGTGAGGACTCACATGGCAGAGCACTCAGCTTTTCCACCAACAGGAACGTTGGAATAGCTAGCCTCTGTGACCTTCCCTCAGCACTGGCATTACTGTTATGAGGAATTTCTTCCACAGATGCCACCAATGCCACCAGTTTTATGTCAATGTATGTGATGCTAAAATGGAGACCGATTCATATTTTAAAAATCTTTTGTCTCAGTTGGGCATGGTGGTGCACACCTTTAACAACCTCCCCCTGCCATGGCAGAGGCAGGCAGATCTCTGAGTTGGAGGCAAGCCTGGTCCACAGAGCAAAATTAGCCAGGATTCCACACTGAGAAGCTCTGCCTCAAAAAAACAAAACAAAACAAAACAAAAAACTGCAGTATTTAGAACATGAGCATAAGTTATGTTTAAATATTGAAGTTTTTCTAACATACCTTATATGTAAGCTAAATCTTTAAAAAGAAGGAACTCTGAAGCAATAAAACAAACACATATTTGCTTGGTTTCTTCCACTATGTGACACTATTAAATGTTACAAAAGCAAGTGAAAGTATTTATGAGTGTATATAGATTCATCTGGAAAACACTTAAATACAGAAGTCCAAAACATTGTTAACCATAAAAAGAAAAAAGATTCAAACATTTTCAAAGTCTTTATGTATGGCTCATTCAAAGCCCGACAGAGCAAATCACAATCTGACAGTTTTCAACTTTCCGCTGCTTTGTTTGTGCCTAACAACACGACCTCAGGGTTTAGTTACACAGCAGCAGCCTTTACCGTATGAATGGCCCATTTAGCCTCATAATCCTTTCTCTCAACTGTCCTTCATTTCATTCTCAAATTGACCTCAATCTGTATAACTTGATATTTTATTGTGAACAAAGATAAGATCTGAGCCATGAAATTAAAGTAAAAATCAGTATAGAAACCTCAGGATTGTGACTCATAGTCTAGAGACAGTGATTAATGGGTAGTTTCGTTACTGTGTTGTGTTGAGGCAGGGTCTCATGTAGATTGGCTTTCAATTCATTAGCCAAGAATGACCTTGAACTCTTGATTCCCCTGCCTCCCACGTACCCGGGCTACGTATGTATGCCACTGGAATTTTTCACAAGTACATAGTTGAACTGACTATAATAGTCATGAAAATCTTTGTAAAACAATACTTTAGTTCCTTTCAAAATATTTTATTTCTTTTTACTTTTTGAGACTGGGTTTCTTTGTGTAGCCCTAGCTATTCTGGAACTTACTCTGTAGACTAGGCTGGCCTTGAACTCACAGAGATCTGCCTACCTCTGCCTCTAAGTGCTGGGATTAAAGGCATGCACCACTACCACCTGGTTTCAAAATATTTCATATAAAAATATACTAATAAATGTTGATGAAGAAAAAATGAAGAGTTGATCCGAAGGTTAACATGCTCAAGAACCATCTTTTTAAGCCATCTTATCAACACAAAACCTTATCAACATAAAGCCAGTTTTATAAATGTAGGAAGTCTACAAAATTTCCAAATATTCTAAATAATTTACAACTGAAAAATTCTCACATATAACAGGTGATTTTGAATATGTAATGCAACTTAAGAAATTCAAGTTAGTAATTAAGTAATAGCATTTTGGGATCTACAGGGGACTGGTTCCAAGACCCCAAGGATACTGAAATCTGCAGCTGTTAGAATCTCCCATAAAAAGTGACATTGTGTCTGAATTTAACTTACTCTTACGCTGCAATGTGTTTTAGGCCATCTGTAGGTTACAGTGCTTATTACAATGTAAACAGTCTTTATTATTTGAGCAATAATGACAAGGAAGAGTCCACCTGTTCAGTAAAGATGCACATCCCTTTTTCTGAATATTCTCACCATGTGCCTATATGAGTCCCAAGACGCAGAGTCAGGGACAGAAGACCAACCACATGGGGCCATAGGGCTCTTCTGAGGATTAAATGCATTCAGTTATAAAAATGCACTTGGGAGTACACGTGTTGACACATGGCAGGCTTCCTTCATTAGTTACTAACTTTATGAGCAGCATTGACGACCTAAACATGCTGTGTGAGAATACTTATAGGTACAAACGTGAAATTCACCTACATGGATATTTACTTTGTTTTTTTTTTTTAGTGGGTCACCATTTTGGTTATTACTTTGTTTCATATTTCTGTACCTCACTGACATGTGTCTACAATGAAGATTTTTAAGTAAGTAGTAAGAACAAACTTAAATGTATAGAAGCATAAAAGAATATTATGGCATAAAAGGCAAGTGAACAGTGACTCTTATGATATAGAAGTGGCTCTAATTAGGATGCTGACTCAAACAAATCAACTTCAAAATGATTTGATCACCAAGAGTTTCGCACTTGTTAGCTCCAGGCTGTCCTGCTCAGCCCAGATGGCCACATCTCTTGTTAGGCAGATGCTTACCTGGGGTGGCTCTGAAGTGGGTTCAGAATGGGATCCGTTTGTGACAGTAGTGACACTTAAAGGAGAGGCTTCAACTGTGACATCCTCTAGGCCTGGGATGGATGACAGCTGAGAAATGTGAATTAGTGTTGGCATGTGAAGCTCATTCTAGGTGTGCAAATAAGGCTTTACACCCATGGCTTCTTACTTAGCTCCCTTACACCTATAAAACTGTACAGTTCAGAGTTTTCATCTTTAATCTCCATGTCACACGTTAAAAGTAAAAAATCATCCACAATACCTTGAAGAGTTTTTCAGAAGTTAATTTAGTTGACAGCCCTTCTTTCCCTATAGATCGCTGGCAGGACTGCTGAGTATTTCTGCGCAGGAACTGAGCACGGGATTTGGAGTCTGACTGCCCGAGTGTACTGAACGACTAACCTGCTATTGGCCCTCTGGCCCACCATCCTCACACCCCTAGTCTTATTGCCTGTCCTGGGGATGGGAAAGTTTTCCTGATGAAACTATTTTAAACATTTTTATTAAAAATGCCTTGCTAAAGAGAAGTATATTGCAGCTCAGCGTGTATGCACATGTGTGTTGTTTGTATGTTACTTAATGCGTGCAGTGTGGACATGCCTGTTCGTGTGCTGGGTCCTCCTTTGGCTGGATCAGCTGAACCCTCCTTGCTCCCATCTGAACTCAGGCTCTCAAGCTGTGTGAGGGCACTTCGCCAACTGCATCTGCTCCTGAGTGCTCTAGCACATTTTATGTTTAATTACACACTATATGTCTTTACATATTATATGTGACATGGCTCATTTTTCTCTTTAAACATTTATCACTGAATGTTACTAAGATGTGTTTTTTTCATGCACGGCAAAATGGGCATATTGTCAACATTCCGGGCTAGACTGTAAGCATTTCAGAAAAAAAAAGTCAGCATTGGGGTTAGATTTATAAAGACCCTTCGGGATTTTGTCTTGGTGATCTATGATACATGTTGGTCAGCTGTTTGGCTGACTTGTGGGGATTACGCTACGGCCAGGGAAATACTAAGGTTAACTTGCTCATACGGAAATGTAACTTGTGTCCTTGGATGGCAGCACCTTAAAATTCCTAACTGTGAACTAAGACACAGTCATAAGGAAGGGTATATAAAATCACCAGTGATAAGATCACAGGCAGCAAAAGTCATTGCAAGGTGCTGACTGACGACAGTGCTTTGCAGAGTGGCAGTGGCCCCAAAGTCATAAGTGGACACACTCATGACTGCTAGAATGTCCCCAGCATGTTCAAGGCCAGGTGTTCTAAATTTCTATGCTAGAGAAATGTTCTCAGGCCACTTAAATGTTCAGTAAATTTTTAAAATGTTTGATTATTATTATTACAATTTATTCACTTTGTATCCTGGCTGTAGCCCCCTCCCTCATCTCTTCTTGGTCACACCTTCCTTCCCTCTTTCCCCTCTATGCCTCTCCCCTAGTCCACTGATAGGGGAGATCCTTCTTCCCTATCATCTGACCCTAGCCTATCAGGTCTCATCAGGACGGTCTGGATCTTATTTCCCTGTGGTCAATTTAGGTCACCTCACCAGGAGAAGGTGATCAAAGGGCTGGCCCCTGAGTTCATGTCAGAGACAGCCTCTGCTCCCCTTACTAGGAAACCCACATTGAGACTGAGCTGCCCATGGGCTACATCTGAGCAGACGATCTAGGTCCTCTCCATGCATGGTTCTTGGTTGATTATCTGTCTCTGCAGGACCTCCAAGCCCAGATTTTTTGGCTCTGTTGGTCTCTTTGTTAAATATTTTGAAAAAACTCAATGAAAAAACTTAAAATCACTTTTGAATTGACACATAAAAACATAGCCACTGTACACTTTTATGGGATATCAGGGAGGGAAGGATTTAAAAAAAATCACAAAAATACAGCAGAATTAAAGAAAATCAGTAATTTGTCCTTTACCTCATAAACAGGAAAAATATGTACAACATTATAAATTAAACCAAGTTAAAATTGAATTAATCAAAACCTGTAGGCTTCAGATAAAAATTATTTTTCCCAGATAATATGGGATCTTTTGTTGTTTTGTTTCCTTAATATTTTTAAGGAGACAGTCTCTGACTACAGATCAGGCAGGCATGAGACTCATTATCCTCCTGCCTCAGGCTCCTGAGTGCTGGGATCATCGACACAGCCTACTGTGCTCAGCTTCTCGGTAATTTGTGATTTCAGACTGGTGTTCATCATTAACTTTCAAGATATTTACAAATGAAAACATCATTTTTATTAATAAATTTCAATACAATCTGCTCTGGAGACAGAGCTTTACTCTAATTATGACATTATTGTGCTACTATTGGCACATTATAACCATTAACATAAAACTAATTTTGAGTTTCCATTAAATAATGTGAACTATATAATAGCTTATTTTGTTAACATGTTGTTTATACTGTAGTTTTAACTGGCATAATCGAAGCAATCTCAAACCCTGAGGTCATTTGAAATGACTGAGTTAACATTTATAGTGAGCACTAGCCTTGCACTAGCCTTGCAATTACATTTCTTAGTGTTCAGCTCTGCATCACTTCACAGATACAGGGCTTAGATTGATTCCATTCCCACACACATTTTAAGTAGACATAAAAACATGGTGTGCATACAGACAAGTTTATCTTGTTTTTAGAAATACAAACCTTTGCATCTAAAATATTGAGAGTTGTTTCAATTTGTTGGATACGAAGTGAAAGGTCTGCCAGTTTCTAGAAAAGTTAGAGACATAAGAATAAAGTATTTAATTAAAATGATGAAAAAGAAGCATGAAGGGCAGATTTGAAAAATTATAAAATACATGATTTAAGTATTTCTTATTTTCTCATATACCATTGCCTTCACAAGCATAGAATGAGAATTGTACATTACTAGAATGGTCATAGATTTTGTAGATATTCACTAATAGAAATGTTAACCTTTTAGCTTTCTAAAATTCATCTCAGAGCAATAAGCTGATAAACCAAAACACAAACTCACTCTAGGCCAGTCTTTCATTCACTGCTGTTTTCCGAGTATTCAAAATAGTACCTAGGATATAACAGCAGCTTAATAATTTCTTATGAATAAAAGTTTTCCATAGAAATGAGAAAAAAATAAAAATAAGTCAGAGACAGCCTTACCTAGGATCTGCCTGCAGAAATTACTTAGGCAAATAAGCAAATATGATTCAGTCCAAATTCAAACTTTTCAAGTTTGAAAAGTATTAGGGAGTGATGGTAAAAGGGAAAGAGGAACAATTCATTTTAAAAAGAATTAAAAGAGAAAGTTATCAAGAGGCAAAATGACATACCTATCAAATCTAACATAAACCACATAAAAGCACATCATGCCCTAATCACATTCTATGATTAAGTTATCCACCTGGCCCTAGAGAGATGGTTTAGGGGAGAAAGCTACTCAAGTATGAGGATGGGAGCTTGCTTCTAGCAGCCACATAAAAGCCAGGCAGACAGAGTGGTCCCCTGTAATCCCAGCACTTGGGAGGTAGAAACTGGATTTCCAGAGCAAGCTAGATGGTTGGAACAGGTGAATCAGTGAGCACTGGGTTTAAGAAGAGACCTGTGTCTAGAAATACAGTGGAGAGTGACTGACGAAAATATCTGATGTCACCCTCTGGACTCCATGTGCCTGCAAACCTGTGTACATATGTACCTATACAAATGTGAACATACATGAATGCACTTTTACCACACATACAATTATTCATCTACACACATATATACTTCCATAAATAAAAGTTAGCATAATAATATACAATCCAAGAAATATTTGCTGAATACCTTAATTCTGCACAATATATTTAGTTACACATTCCAAGGGGGTTGGCAAGTTTACTCCATGGCACGGGCAGCACTCTGTCTGCACTGTGGGATTATATAAAAATCCTCATTAAAAGCAGAGTTTTAATGCCCACAGGTAGGAGAGAAATGCTGACCACTGGGACAGGGCACCTAGCACTTCTCCACAGGCTGCTGTTCTGAGATAGGCGCTATCGGTGCTGCCCATTCAGGTCTCAAACTTGGGCACAGGGAGGTTTCATGCCTCAGCCATGCAAATAGTAGGGATGACAGGCTATCCTACTGTACCTGAATCTGTCATCCGACACGAAATTTAAGCTGCTTTCTTTTTATGTTACCTATTATTGTATTTTGTCTCTTTTGTCTTTGCAAACCGGGATGAAGATGTATAATACCCCATCCTCAATCTTGGGAATGATAATAAAAGCCCTAGTGGATGGTGAAGCAACAATAGAAGAGGACTTGACAGCAGAAGAAACTGCTCTTGGATATAGTAGTTGCTCTGATAGCTCAGATCAAGACTGGTACTTGCTAATAGTGAGATAGTACTTCAGTATTATTTAACTCATATGCTGTACTTTATCACACTATCATATCCATTTTTCATACCTGATGCAAAGTGTACAATTACAGAACACTTATTTTTATTTTTCTTTATTAAAGATAAAGTTTACTTTAAATATGTGTATGTGTCTGTATGTGTGCATGAGTGCAGGTACCAATGGAGACCAGTAGAGGGAGTCAGACCTCCTAGAGCTGCAGTTACAGGGAATTGTGAATCACCCAGTATAGGTGCTGAAAACCAAACCTAGGACTACTGAGACATCTGTCTAGCCTCAGAACACTGACTCTTTATATGATGCAATCCAAAGATGCAATCTGAAATTAAATATTCATAAGTGAGTTTTTGGCTGTGGTTTTATTTTTTGAGATAGGGTCTCACTGTGGAGTTCAGGTTGGCGTCTAACTTTCAGTACAGTCCAGGCTACCTCAAATTCTCAACATTCTTGTCTCAGTCTTCCTGGTGCTCGGATTAGTGTTAATGGCATCAATGTTAAGTTTAACCTAGAAAATTGTTTATAACAAGCTGTTATGTAAACATAAATACAAGTTATATAACATGTCATGCTATCCAAGTTATAGGCACATTCCTGAAAATCATGGAAATTCAATTTTGGAAAATTTCTTAAGTCTTTTAATTCACTAAAGAAGAAATCTTACAACAAATTAATTTGTAAAATGATAAATTCCATTTGTGAAAAATGAGCATATTGGTTTAAATAAAATAAGCATGAAAAGAAAGATGAGTTCAAAATTTAATATTTTATTATGCATGTATGCATAAATATAGGTTTATGTGTATAAGAGTGTTTACATATATGTGTGCCGATGTGTGCCAATGTGGAGGCCAGAGGTCCACACTGGCTTCTTCCTTAGCTGATCTCTAGCATTTTAGACAGAGAATCTCCCTGCACCTGGAGCTCCCCACCTGGGTTTGATTCACTGCTGGGCAAGCTGACAGTCCTGATCTCCACCCTCTCAACACTGGGATGACAGGTGCAGCCCCTGTCTTTTATACGGGCTCTGAGAACACTTTCAGGTCCTCATGCTTCCAGACAAACTCTTTTCTGACTGAGCTCCAGTTTCCCAAATTTATGTTTTAGGTATTAAAATGCCCATATAGATATACATTTTAAACATTCAATATTGTAAATGTCTGAGCACTTGTGTATGACATACTGTATCTTACAACCTATCACTCAAACCCTCATGCCCACTCTATAAGGTAGGAACTATTTTGCCAATTTAAAGGAAAAAACTAAAGTGAGATTTCATACAAGTAAAATAACCCAAACCAAAACACTTGAAATCCAGAGCTGACAGAAGTTTGCTCCAGCGTGACCGTAAATCCAGGTATAGCAGTCTACTCATTGTTCATTACACAGAGATAGTAGACAACTGACCAGCTTCTCAGCAAGCTCTGGACTATAGAGACCCAGAGAGCAAAAGTTTCCAATCTTGGAACACTTTCTAAGGTGGATCCCATTCACCTGGAATTATTATTTTTTAAACAGTATTAATTACTGTCATGATTAGAATATAAAGCTAGCTTGTTAAACTGAGTACTGAATGGGGAATTCAAATAGGGTAGACTGAAAATGGAAAGACAGATCTTGGCAATGAAGAGAGTAAAGATGTTTGCTTAGAAATCTATCTACTGACTAGACTGAAGATGCTTAGAAAAAAATTATCAATTCAGAGCAATAATTTTCTCTCTCTTTGTATGATCAGATTATTCTGGTCCTGCCATTCTTTCATTTGGAACTCATTTTACCTACTCTCATCTGCTTTGTCAAAGCCTCAGAAGGCATGAGTGATTTATCCTTGCAAGATATGCAAGACACTGATATAAACACCAATAGGTAGTAACTTATAATAATTTATCTAAATACCCTTGATAATTGTGGGGACAAGTATTTTGGACAGTAGTCTTTTCCTTACCATGGCTACTACCACCTATGTCAAAGCTAGATCGAACAATGTAAACATAATTTAAAGAAGAAAAGAAAAAAAACTAGGAGTTTTATACTACATTGAAGTTGTAAAAAAAACAACAACAACAAAAAAAAAAAAACAAAAAAAACAAACCCTCCAAATAGTCTAGTTATAAAACTCCTATGAGGAGTGCTGTATTAAGAAATAATTCTCACAAGTAACACAGAGCAACTGAAAGTCCAAAAACACTGAACATCTGAGATTCACAAAGCAGCTCTAGACAAGGTTAATTAATACCACTGTGAATATAAGATGATAGAGCTTTATGATTATAAAATACTGAGCATATATAACCAAACCTCTAAAAGAGCATTTTAAAGTAGACCTCAGTGTACTCTGCTGTGTTGTGTGTCTCAGAAGCCAACAAGGAAATCAATCAATATCTTTATTAAGCTGCATATAACTCTTAAGCCCCCCCATTATAAAGATGTGTCAAAAATAAAAAAAGGGTTTAAGAAAGACATCATTTGTTTGAAAGTTAAGTTCAATGTAGGCCTAAAACTTGGATATAAGTGATAAACACTATAAATTTGTTAGATGAGAGTTCTCAACATTTTTGCTTGTATTTAAAGATTTTTAGAAGAAAAGGATTAGAAATGATTTGAGATCCAGTATTGTGTGTAACCAATCTAAGTCAAGATAAAACATCCGCATGTCTTATTTATACGAGGCTGTTGACCCAGTAATTCAAGGTAAGACAAAGTGCACAGAGTTTACTGCTGGAAGAACTCAAGTTGGCCCCATCCCCCACCCCTGTACATTTCCCCTAAGTGGAGAGGGAACAGAAATGTTTGTGAGGACTTGGGAAGAAAGAGAAAATGACCCTAAGCAACTTTGTAACTTGGGTCTGATTCAACTGCTCTCCTTACTCTGGCCTCTGACTCAGCAGGTGAAGAAGTAGCCCAGTATGCACAAAATTTTAAGAAAGTAGAGTCCTTTACAAAAAAAATACAGGAAAAGAGAGAGTCCAGCACTCTTCTCTTTATCAGAGAACTCTAAGAACCAGTATAACAAATAAAGAAAGAGCTCAATTTGTTTCAAATTTACCCCCAGCTTGAGGCTGAAAGTATTACATTTCTGCCTGACTTAGATCAGATCAGGGTTGGGGTTGGGGGTGTCTTTCTCCCAGCAGCTCACTCCTAACTAAAAAACAACAACAGCTGATGCTCACTTTTTTTTTTTTTTTAGGGAAGAAGTCATTTTGGTTTCTGTTAAGGCTTGCCAAATAAGGACAACAGGGTGTAATTAATAAAAGTTAAATAAAAAATTTAAAAAATAAAAAAATTTAAAAAAAAAAAACAAAAAGATTAAAAACCATTCCAGAAAGCAATACTGAGATACATATATAATGTCTC